ATCTTAAACATTTTTTCATATCTCTTCTCCAATTCTTCCTAAATCCTATTCTTAACTCTCTACTCTCTAATTCTCTTATTCTCCATTCTCCAATATATTATATTTATTATTTATAGTTTATATTAATTATCTACTTATATAAACTATAAATAGATATAAATAGTATTATATTACTTATATTTGTTATCTAATTATATATTACTTATATATTTATTATATCTATTAATATAGTTGGAATTATATCTAATTAATTTGAAGTCATTCTATTACTCCCATCCGAAAGACCGAAAGTCCGAAAGAGGTACGAAATTATTCTATTATTTACACTTGTTTAATTACTAGTTAATTTGCTACATTTGACTCTTGTTTAATAGTTAGATAAATAGTTAATTAGTTTTTTACAATTTTTTATTAATTGCTACATTTGACTCTAGTTTAAAAAATATGTTGTACACAAAACTAGTTAATTCACTACTTAATTTGCTATAACTCGAATTAATAGTTAGATAAATAGTTAATTAGTTTTTTACAATTTTTTATTAATTGCTACATTTGACTCTAGTTTAAAAAATATGTTGTACACAAAACTAGTTAATTCACTACTTAATTTGCTATAACTCGAATTAATAGTTAGATAAATAGTTAATTAGTTTTTTACAATTTTTTATTAATTGCTACATTTGACTCTAGTTTAAAAAATATGTTGTACACAAAACTAGTTAATTCACTACTTAATTTGCTATAACTCGATTTAATAGTTACATAAATAGTTAATTAGTTTTTTACAATTTTTTATTAATCGCTACAATTTTTAGATGGATCGTCCTAGATATTCGGTTGATATGGGTAACCTCGAGCGCAACCGAACGAAAGAGCTTGCGAGGAAGAGATCCCGCAAAGGTAAATCACATATCGGCTCTTCATCTCAAAGTCGAGATGATTTTGATACGGGTTACGTAAGGAGGGATGGGGATGCGATGACCGACGAACAACTAGAACAAGAATTGCACCGACATAATTCCCGCTTTTTTCAAGACCAACCGAGGACCATTGACGAAGAAGAGCTCGAGGACGAGGACGACGATGTGGAGGAAGCAATTCCGGAGAGCCACGACGAGGAGGAGGAGGAGGGTGGCGGCAGCCATGACGCCGACCAAGCAGCCTCATCCCAAACAGGTACAAAAAAAAGTAAATCTGAATTAATGGCTAATAATTTTTCTAAGTGGAAGGACCCGAACACCGGGAATTGGACCGCAACTTGCAATTGGTGCAAGAAAAACTATAGTTTGGGGATTTCCGGCGGATACGGATCCGCCACAAGACACCTTAAGTCCAAACACCCGGTGGAGTATGCAAAATTAGGCGGCGGAACGGGGAAGCAAACGCAAATATCGAGGTTTGCAAATAACCAACAAGCTTTTGGTAATTTCTCATACAATGATGCACAAAATTTGACAGGTATGGCTAACTTACTTGTTGAAGAAAATTTGCCTTATTTGTTTTCTGAAAGTCTTGCTTTTCGTGATTATGCACAAACTTGTTTAAATCCGCAATATAGAGGTTATAGTCGCAAAACGGTTAAGAAAGAAATTTCAAGGCTTTATGGTGCGGAAAAGGTAAGGTTACAAAATTATTTTGCAAACTTTGATGGACGTGTTACTGTATGTTCTGACATATGGGAGGATACTTATCATAATTTACATTATTTGGGTCTGACTGTACATTATATTGATAATGATTGGCATATGCATAAACGTGTTCTTGCTTTCCGTGAATTTAATGATCGTCACACCGCTGAACATATTTATATTTTGATTGAACGTATTTTAATTGAGTATAATTTAATTGATAAGGTGTTTGCTATTGGTTTTGATAATGCTACTAATAATACTGCTGTTATTCCTAGATTGCGTGAATTGTGTGGTTCTACTTCTTTGATGGGTAGATTTTTTCATCAACGATGTGCATGTCATGTTCTAAATTTATGTGTGCAAGATGGTCTAAAAGCGTTGGGAGCATCGTTGGAGGTAATCAACGGGGGGATTAGACGTATTTGGGGTAATGGACAACTTAGGAAAAAATGGCATGATTATTTGATAGAAAGAGGTGAGAGATATGTGGCTTTTCCAAAAGATTTGTCTATTCGTTGGAATAGTACCTATAAGTTAATTGGAGTTCTTCTTAGATATAAACAACATTTTCCTGCTTTTATGAAACAATATGATAACTATATTATAAACTCGGCTGAGATCGACACATGTGAAAAAATTTGTAATGCTTTGATATATTTTAATAATGCAACTGAAACTTTTAGTCATGTTTATAAACCTACCTCAAACCTATTTATTCGTGAAGCTGTTAATCTCGCCGGTGCTTTTTCAAATTTTGAGAATGCTTATTATGTGAGTTATTTTGCTGGTTTTATGAAGGAAAAGTTTTTAAAATATTATTCACGTATTCCGCATATTTATGGTATTGCATTTGTTCTCGATCCTCGTTTTAGACTTGGTTCTTTAGAAGAATGTTTGAATTATTATTATGCTGCTTTTTTTGGTCCATTGCCAATGTATGAGGACAACCCAATTGATCCGAAAAAAGAATACAACGAGGTTAGTGATATATTTTATGCATTATTCAATGAGTTTCATGCACAATATGACAATGCGCCCCCTCCCCCGACACAAACATCATCTAAAGGAAAATCAATTTTCAAATCTACGTTTGCCAATCTTATTAAAAAAACAAAATCAACTCCTGCTACACAACAAAGCACAATTAATGAGATTTCTTTGTATTTAACTTATGATGTTGATTTTGAAGAAGATGATGATTTTGACGTACTAAACTGGTGGAAGGGAAAAGAAAGAATGTTCCCGGTTTTAGCAAAGATGGCTAAGCAAGTGCTATCAATGCCGGTTTCAACGGTTGCCGTGGAACAAGAATTTAGTTCGGCCGGCAATGTTCTAACACAAACCAGAACGAGGTTGAGCGCTGAATCTCTTGAGATGCTTATATGCTACCACGATTGGTTGAAAGCAGCACGTAGAGCTCAAGAAATTGACATCACTCAATCCCAACATTTTATGGATGAATCTACAACAGAGGGTGGCTCTACCTATGCCGGAGATTCCGATTAAAAACAATTATAGTTCCTATTTAATTTTCAAATGTAGTTCCTATTTCATTTGAAATAAATGCACTTGAAGTTTGTTTTTTAATACTTGTATAAAACTATAAAGTATAAAATATAAATTAAAAAAAAAATATTTAACCGGCCCCGCCCGGCCCGGCCCGACGGGTGGCCCGACCCGTGACCCGGGCGGGTGGCCCGGCCCGAACCGGACCCGTCCAACCCTCGGGCCGGTCCCGGGCCCATGTGATACAAACCGGCGGACCGACCGGGCCTAGGCCCGGCCCGAATCCATCCCTACATTGATCTTAGCAAAATATTTCCAAAGCTTGAGAGCTTACGCAAGTCCCAACAAACTAAGCCCTTCCCTTCGGTATGGTAAAATGCTTATCCTCTCTATATTACATTTTTATGGTCACTGGTATCGATTCTCCAACTCTACAACAACTGTATTCATATGTTAAAAATATAAAATACAGAGGCTGTTTGGCAACACTGTTTTTCGGTTTATGAGCCTTATTTGCCAACTTTTTCAACAAACACGTAACTTTTGCTTTCGCGCGCTGAATTGTGTAATAAACAGAAAAAGTAAGGTTGAAGTTACTTTTCTAGTTGTATTGGCTGAAGTTACTTTTCTGGTTGTATTGGGTGAAGTTACTATAGATGAATATTTTAGCTATTTTTACATAAGATTTTTTCTTTATTTTATTAAGAAAATATATTTTAAAATTAATTTTTCTTAAATCAGAAGAATCAATCAATACAGCTACTTCAACCAGAATTTTATAAATTTCAGCAAAATCAGCCAAATCAGCCGATTTTCGTGCTACCAAGCATATCAAGCGTTGTTAGAAAACACTCAATACTATGTTAGAGAAATAAGCATATCAAGCGAGTGGTGAAAATGTTTCATTTTAATAATATTTTTGTAAAAAAAAACCTTTATTGTCTTGAGTTATTCGACAAATGCAAATAATTATAGGAGTGGTGAAAATGTTTTCACTTTAACTTATTTAGCTTCAAAATAGATTTAGAGCTTGTTTGGTGACCCTATTTTTCAGTTTATTAGGTTTATCAACAAATTATTTCACCAAACACGTAGCTATTGACTTCACGCGCTGAATTGTGTAATAATAAGAAAAAATAAGGTTGAAGTTACTTTTCTGACTTTAATTGTTAAAGTTCCGTAGAAGACCATTTGAGTTATTTTTCATATGATTTTTCTTTATTTTACTAATAAAATATATTTTAAATATAATTTTTTACATAAATTAGCAAAACCAATCAATTCAGTAACTTCGTCCAGAATTTCATAGTTTTCAGCAGTCTCAGCCAATTTTAGTATTACCAAACTGGCACTTAGCTTACACCAAATTAAGATAGATTTAATGTAGTTTCTGAATATGTAAATTTGATTTTTTAAAAACTAATTTAATGTTGACAGAGATCAATTTGCTTTATCGTCGGTCAAATATCGTAAATCGTAAAGTATCTTACAAATTTAGACGGAGGGAGTAACTTAGTTATAATAACTTATATTCAATTTTTAAATATTAGAGATCATGATATTATATCGTAATAATTATTATTTTTATGTAAATAAATTTTATTTTAATTTGTAGTGGCATTTTTGTAAACAAAAAAACTCTTTATTACTCCATTTTATATACGATTATAGTGTGGGACATTCCATCATCATTTTGGTTTTCAATATTTGGAACGACAACCGTTAAACACACGCAACTTGGAAATTGGGCCGGCCGCTTTTAATTGCGAGTGCAAATGCAATAGGTGTGCAGTCCGCTACTGGGCTTGGGCTTTATCGATCGATTGAAGCTACGACTTCCAATCCAAACTTGCAATGATATTTGGGAAGAAATCCCTCGCTTTTATATCGTAAAAAAAACCTACGATACATCCTCTGTTCCTACGCCGCACTACGCACGAAGCTTTCTCATACTGCCGTTCTCTTCCTGCGCAACACGACTCTTGGGTTCCCTTCCTTCTTCCTGGAGCATCTGGAGGCTGTAGCAACTGTTCAGGTGCATTTTCTAACTGATCTCACAATTACAGTAGCTATATATCATTGCCATGTTTTTCAAGCTCGCTGATGTCGCGTGTAAATTTCCTTATTTCATTTGTTTACATTTGTCACATGTGCTACCTTTCTCTTCCCTGATGACCAACTTGTCATCAACTGTGTACGCAATACAATCTAACTTAAAGGTTCAAAATTTAAAGACTCGTAGCTAGCTATGATGCCAAATCCATCTACTATGAATTTATAGCTTTCTGGAATATGCTTTAATTTACTTGCTTCAATTCGCATCTTTTAAAGCTATCTAGGCATTCTGGGGCATGGCGGCTGAAGACAGAATCAGTGGACTTCCTAGTGATATACTTGACCATATTTTGGGGCTCTTACCAATTCGAGATGCTGCTAGAACTTCTGCTTTGTCTACGGCTTGGAGAGATGTCTGGTTAAGTCTTTCCCAACTCATCTTTGACACTAACTTTTTTCATCACATCCATGACCGCTACATTGAAGAATGCGCCATGCTTGTAATCGACAAAATTCTCATGAGGCACAACAGACCTCTTCGAAAATTTGTTTTCCATTTTGGCAATTTCTTTGGGGCAAAAAGAGATACGAAGTCTAGTTGGGTTGAATTTGATGAATGGTTACTTTATCTCACAATAAATGGGGTTGAAGAATTGGACCTATCTTTTTTTGGGTCATCTGGATGTGCATATGAATTGCCCGATTTCATATTTTCATGCTCAACTCTCAAGAAGCTGCATCTTCATGGAGTGTATGTTGAACCAATAAAGGTCCCGTGCATATTTCCGAATGTCACTTCTCTTTGTCTTCAAGATATTCAGTTTGATTCCAGAAATCTTCTCTATTCTCCCAAGGATCTTCCCATGCTAGAGAGTCTCGAGTGTGAAGATATTTCTGGTTTCAACATCACTGCCCCAAAACTTAGAAGTTTAAAAATTTCCAATGTGACTTCTCATGACATTCTTCCTGTTACCTTGGATTTGAAACCCATCTTTGCTCTTCATCTCGACTATTGCTCTGCCAAGGTACATTCGACACACATCTACTTTCTTTCTGGATTGCTATTTGTAGAATGTCTTTTAGAAAATTAGCCGACTCCTACTTGATTTTTTCTAGGATATTATTAAAGAATTTAGATGATTGGGTAAACAAGGAATTGTGCTCAATGTGGGTTGCTTCAACAATTAGCTGACTACTGTTTGATTTTTCCCAGGATTTTATTAAGGAATTAACTAGATTGGGTAAACAAGGAACTACACTCAATGTGGGGCACCTGAAGTTGCATTTGTATGACGAAGATGATGAGATTCCTGCCTTCTTTAATTTGTTGCGATTGTGCCCAAACTTATACAAACTTGATATAGAGCTACCGGTAAGTTGGTAATATTATAGAAGGCACATATGTGTGACATCGAGAACTATTATTCTATTTAGTCAAATTGTTGCTCTTAGTTTTTCTCCTTAAATTGCATTTCTCTGGTGTAAATAATTGCTGGACCAAATGACGTATAATATCATTTGTTTATAATGTTTTTAGATCAATGCTGTAGCAAATACTACAGACGTTTCGTTGGAGCATCCAGAATATATTGTGGCCAAAACAGGCCAAAGAGTTCATACTTTGATTCTTTCTTGTGCGTTTAGAGGGTCAAAACCAGAAATGCTTTTCTTCATGTGGCTTCTTGCATGCTTTCCCATGCTTGAGAAGGTTTTCATACATCAAAGAAAAACATTTTGCTCCAACACAGAGTTTAAAAACCAGCGAAAGCTTTTGCGCTTTCTTCGGGCTTCTTCAAAAGCAGACATTGTTTACAGTTGACACTGAAAAAGGTTGTTAGATTTGTAGTATATAGTAGTACATTACTATTTTCGAAGTCATCTGTTTGTACTGCTCAGTATGTAAACTTTGAACCTTTAAATTTTGCGGAATGTTGCCCATTAAGTTTGATGGGAAATCTTCACCAGTTTTGAAATTCATTTAGGGGGATTTCTCAATCTGCTGAACAGCTGAAGTGCTAAACTACGAATTCACTTCAACGGATAGTTATTAATCTGGTTGCAGGGTTGGTTTTATTTGTCTCTATGGATGGACCCGGACCGGTTCCGGTTCCGTGCCGGGCCTGGCCGGGCTTTTTTTGCAATTCCTTGGGCCCAGAACTGGCCTGGGTTGCCACCGGGTCCGGGCCTAACCGGGCCGGGCCCAGGTTCAATACCTATTTTTTTTGCTTTCTGGTTATCCCCCGACCCCCCACCCCCACCCCCAAACCTCCCCAAAACACCCAGCCCGGGCCGGTTCGCCCAAAACTAGACCTGAGCCCAGCCCGCCCGGCCCGCCCACACGGGCTAAAAGCCCGAACCGGCCAACCGGGCCCTGTCCAGTTCCAGGCCCGCACAGTAGCGGGCTGGTCCGGTTCCGGGCCGGTTCGGCCCGGCTCAGTCCACCCATAGTTGTCTCATGATTTTCAAGTTACACTACCAGGATGCATTGCGTTTAGTTTATGCTGGAATTTATTGAGAAATATGACTCAAAGTGTTCAATTTGAACCTTAATAATATTATTTTAATTCGGTGTTGTGGAGTTCTAATTAAAATAATATTAAAGGATAATTACAAATATTATTATTCGTTAGATATGTATTTTACTTTTTGTTATTATTAAGTAAATCGTATCTTAAATAATAATAATTGTAATGGTCACGATGGTTTAATGGTCTTGTTTGTTATTAGAGTTTTTTCCTGGAATAATGCTCTAATTAAATAAATTATTTCTGAAATACTGTCGAGTTAAGAATAATTTCCAAAATACTGCTGGAATTAATCATGGTTAAGTAAAGCCACCACTCCAAGTGGCGGCCCTTGTGTTACTTCACAAATGTCGCCACTTGGAGTGGCGGCTCTTCTCTTATAGTACAAAAGCCGCCACTTCAAGTGGCGGCTCTTCTCTTACGGCCCATTTTGTACATATATAAAACGCAGTATGTTTCAAGAATTTGTTTAACTGCCTTCCCGGTTGAATTTTGAGTTGAAATTTGGTATGCATAAACTAGACTTGATGAGGAACATTCTCAAAAAATTTCATCAAAAAATTCCACCGGAAACACCATCTGATGGTGTTGTCCGCGGGGGTTCCGGTAAGGACGTCATGATAAAAGGGTGGTCGGGCCACCTCAATTTGAGGTGGTTTCCGGTGGTATGCTTTGATGAAATTTTTTGTGTATGTTCTTAATAAAGTCTAGTTGAGTCACACCAAATTTGATCAAAACATGCAATCCGAAAGGTCATCAAATGATTTTGCTCAATAATTTTGCTCAATAATTTAATCCATATTATTTTATCAAATGCTATTAGTACACTTCATATTACATCACACATTTCCATGACAAAAATACTACACAGATTGTGGCGTAAACCAAATTCAAATTTTTTGAAAACAAATTAATTTTTTAAAAACAGTAGTCAGCCGTAATCATTAAATGCTTCACAGATGTCTTTATCCATAATAATATATTCATTCACACGTATCTATTCAAAAATATTACACCATATTTTTTTAAACGACTTGGTGTAGTGCGCCAGACAACACAAAGGGGATTTTGCCCAATAAAGTTTAAAACTTTTCATTAGAATCTTGGTGGGCAACTTAGCATAGGAAAATAGTAAGAGTACGATACATTCAGATAGCAATTAAAGCAAATAAGGTAACAGAATAAACACAAAGGAAGTGAATAAGAACAGACACTTAAGTAAGTCATGCAAAAAAGAGGCAGAGTTGGTATCTTATTCATCTGATAGAGAAAATAAAACATTACAGAGTCAGAGATAGAGAGTTAGAGGTCTTCTTCATCTACCTGTGGTCCTGCTCTGTCAATCCTTTCGAGTTCTGCATTTACCTTAGCTGTGATTGAGGCTAGATCCCTCGGATTCTGATAGTCAGCCCAATGAGGTGCAAGTTTGCAATCCAAATAATTTCTGACAGCTTCTGCAGAGTTCTTGCCAGTGAGAATCTTCATTCCGTACCACATTTCTGCTTCTTGGATAGAACCACCATGGTTGATCTGGACAAGTCCATCACTATCCATGAACAGATTCTCTCTTTGAAGGGGAGTCATCAGCTTCCTCATTTGTTCAAACTGAACTCTGTCTGGCCTTGACAGACCACTCTTCATCCAATCATTGAATGAAAATGATGAAGTCTTTTTCTTTGAGCTTCTTGGAGGAGGAGGTGGAGGTCTGGTACCTGCAGCAGCTAGTCTCTTCTTTCTGGTTGCATCAAAGTATGGAGCAGGATTAACAGTAGAGGAGGGTTCTCTGATAGATAGGGCTCTAGTGCAAGGTCCTTCCTCTTCTCTGGTATCTTCCCCCTTTTTGGCATCACAAAGATCGCCAAGGAGGAGCTCAATATTTGAGAACTCAGAGGCTTGGGCATCTCTGATCTCATCAAGAGTCTCTGGCAGAGTCTGAGTGACAGAGGCAAGTCCTTCAATCAGGCTCTGTTGCTTGTCAACTGTAGATTGGAGATCCTTAGTGCTGACTTCTAGAAGAACCATCTTCTGGTATCGTTCCTTATCAGACTTGAGGAGAGCTAGGCCTTACTCTTGATGCTCCTTGCAGAGGGAGTGTAAGACTGTGAGTTTCTGTGATGAGCTATCAGCAGATTTTTGAAGATTATTAACAGAGTCTGAGATCTGCTTGACTGTCTGTTGCTGGGCAAGTAGAGCTTGAGAGTGAGAGTGGAGAACAGAGTTGAGACCACTGACATCTCTGGAGACAGAATCTATTCTCAATGTAGATGAATGCATGAAGTTGTGAAGAGTTTCTGATAGTGCAGCAACCTTGTCTGTCATATGCTGGAATCCTATTGTGATTTGAAGATTGGCATGGGTTAGCTCTTCATGATGCTTGTCGTTCAGCTCAATGATCTTGCTCATATCATGAACTAACAGACCACCAAATGCTTCAGCAGATTTCACAAACTGGTTGAAAGGAATCTGGGGTTCTTCAGGTGTAAATCCTGGCATCTCTAATCCTCTGCCCTTGAGAAATGGGGGAGCTCTGGTGGATGGTGGAGGGGAAGGAACTCTTGGAGGTGTCCTTCTCTTTTTAGAAGTTTCATCAGCCGCAATGGAGGAGGTGAGGAAACCATCATTGTCACTGTCTGAAGAGGGGACTCTGAAGATTGGTTTCTTCTTAGGTGTAGAGGCTGCAGAGTGGTGGGATGATCTCTGTGGTGAGGCAGATCTGGAGGGTGGTAAGGATTTCTGATGAGGTGAACTCTGGGGAAAAGGGATTATTGGTTGAGGAATAGGTTGGTGTGAGGGGGATGGTGGGGGTGAAGGTGATCGATTTCTGGTGTTTGAAGGTTGTTTGCAAGGTGATGAGGGTCTGGAGTTGGGTTTCTGGTGAGATGGAGTTCTGGTGGAGGTTGAGGTTTTCTGGTTTGGTGAGAGGGTTTTCTGTTGGGGTGGAGATGAAGGTTTAGAGGGGGATTTGGAAGGTGATGGTTGAGTAATAGGAGATTTGGGAGGGGAAGGAGGAGGTGTAGGGATTACCTCAAGAACTATTTCTGAGAACATGTGTGGATCGTTGCGCTTACCGCTACACCAAAAGCAATTGCTGATAGTGAAGCACGCTCCTCCCCCTTTATAGCACAAGCGAAGCGCCACGCGGTCCGATTGCACCGGCAGGCTGGCTGTTGCTGGCACCGCATACCCGCGGCCCAACAATCTCCCCCCCAGCACCTGCCAGCCTACAACTGCGCAGCATGCTGTTGCCGGGGGTCGAACCCGTGACCTTGGCTCTGATACCACTTGTGGATCGTTGCGCTTACCGCTACACCAAAAGCAATTGCTGATAGTGAAGCACGCTCCTCCCCCTTTATAGCACAAGCGAAGCGCCACGCGGTCCGATTGCACCGGCAGGCTGGCTGTTGCTGGCACCGCATACCCGCGGCCCAACAACATGGATTCTCTCCATTCCTTGATCAATTTCTCCATGGTTAGAGCAATGTCATTTGCTGTGGAGGGTTCTCCTTCCTCAAGGGCACTATGACGAAACTTGATGAGAGATTCTTTTCTCTTTTTCTCCATCAGCCATGCATCAAATTCTTCCATCTCATCCTCTTCCAAGGCTTTGACATGCCTTTCAGGAGACAGGGCAGTTGTTGGAGCTTTACCTTAATATTTTTCCTTCTTTTTCTGTAGTACAGAGATGAGAAAGGCAAGGTTGAAACACTCTGACACATCTTCTGTGCCTACCAAGTGAAGAACTGCGGCTTCTTCTTCTTCATAGGCATCAAAGAACTGAATGACTTTCTGGAGAGGTCCCATTCTCCATCTTCTCCATGCTAAGACTCTATCAAACTGCCTCTGCAGAATGATGTTGTAGTCAGTCTCTGGTTCCTTTTCTGGTGAGGCTTCATGTTCTTGTGAGAGAGCAGAACTTGGCAACTCTGGTGCAGATTCTTGTTCAGCCTCTGGTTGAGTTCCAGATTCTGGTTCAAGTTCCCCCTGAACTTTTGATCTCTTGACAGGTGAAATGACCTTTGTCTTCCTCTTCTTCTGTTTTGGTTGAGGGCTCGAGTTGTCAGAGTCACCACTCTGTACAACTAGCTTTCTTCTTCTCTTCTGCTTTAGCTTTCTGGCAGGAGATTTTCTGGTGGCTTTTGGGGAGGGCAGCTCTGGTGCAACCTCATCTGTTGCATCCTTTGCTGGTATTGACACTTTGTCATCCTTCTTCTTCTTCCTGACTTCCCTTGCAACCTGCGACTGCTCAGGTTGTTTTGAAGTCTCATTGGGTTTCTTGGAGGCTTTCTTAGGAGCAGGTTTAGACTTAGCAGCCTGTTCCTCTCTCTTCTTCTCTAGCCTTTCCTCTCTTCTTAGTTCAGAAGAAATGGCTATGTTGAACTTTGGAGAGGCTGTGAGGAAGATTGTTTTGGAGTGATCAACTGGAAGGGTATCCCTGAGTTGAACTCCTTTGGCAGCAAGGATGGCAGAAATGAGAAGTCCATGTCCCATTTTGGTAGAGAATAGACCTGTTTCAGAGTCTTTCTTCTTAATGAATTCA